AGGCTAGACTCTGATCCAGCAAACATCATTATTATTATTATTATTATTATAAAATAGTTATCCCCAAAAATTTGCTGATGAAATGTTCTTTCGCAAAAAAGAATCATTCTTACAATCAAAATATACGAGATCTGACTGAAAAGTAAGGGGACTCAATCTACTGTGTGAGCATGGAGTATTGTTGCCATATATGGTCTGGAGCCACTTCTGTTTAACCTCGGGGTTCTTGATAGGCGCCAGAGGTGGATATTGTTATAGTGGACACCTATTCTATAGTTAATAGACTCTCCTACCTATAATAAATAACGAGGAAGTTGGCTCAGTGGGTCGGGCAGTCAGTCGACGCCGGATGACCGTTAGTCGGATATTAAAGTATCAGCGACCACAACTAGATTTCTCTGCGTTATAACTATTATATCAAGTTCCTAACGTTTTGTACGTCTAACCTATATTAGGACCGACTTAGTACAAATACAAGCCTCCACTATGAAACCACTCCACAACAAATATGCAATATGCCCTATTCTGGCATCTCGTCTACAGTCGCTCTCTCACAGACGCGCTGTCGCCTCTCTCTGTCTTTTTTACAAATACTTTCATGGTAATTGCTCCGAGCAGCTGAATTCGCTGGTTTCCAGACTTCATGAGTTCAAGCGCCTTACGAGGCTGGCATCCCGCTGTCACCCCTTCCCTGTCGAAACTCCTAAATGTAGCCGTCTCTTCTACTCCAATAGCTTCATGTCTCGCACCTCTCGCCTGTGGAACTCCCTACCCTATTCCAGTTTCCCTGAGAGCTATAATTTCCAGCTATTCAAATGCAATGTCAATCGATATCTCCAGTTGTCTTGATCTATCCACTATCCTTCTACTCATCCTTTCCTCTATCACTCTTATCTATCTTGCTACAAATCTTCTGTAACCTCTTGTGTCCTAGTGGCTTCTCGCCTTGCTTGGGGTGAAATGCAAAAAAAAAAAAGCTATGGGTGAAAGATGGATAAGTGGATTGTGTTATCATTTTACATGATATTTTGGTAGCATATAACTGGAATTTTAGCTTTCTGCAACCATTGCATGTTTTTTTTTCACGTGAGAAATCCTGGTTGTTTTACCATAACAATGTATCTACTCACAAAGCATCCGGAAGTTCCTGGCTGAGAAGAATAGACCATCTTTCCTGTTTAACCGATTTTATTCCGTGTGACTTTCTTCTTTTACTCAAGATTAAAGGGATTATCAAGGGTGTCGGTTTTGATGTGCTGGAAGCCATCACGACGACCGCAACAACGATGCTGAAGAACATCCCAGACGAATCCTTAAAGTAGTGCATAGGAGCGTGGCAGAAAAGGATTTAAAAGTGAATTAAACTCGATGGGGATTATCTTGAAGGGGAATCCATATAGCTTGCTGTCTTGAGTTGATATAAAAAATTTTGTGACACAGTCCGGTTACTTTTCAGGCAGACCTCGTATGGTTCGGCTTTATAAAAACCAGTAAATGGTTGATAAGTTTGTAATAAAAATCAATCAATCGATCAACGTTATAGCTAATGTCCCTCATATAATGGAGCGCGATGAAAATGAACATTGCCTGTCGTTGATGCAATCTGTGTTGTAGCGTTACGGGTTTAAAAAGTTAAGCCAAGAAAGGAAACCAATTCCTAAGTATATGTAAAGTGTAAAGGTTTGCAGACAGAGTGTCTAAGGACAATGTTTCATTCGGCTCTTTATCCTTGTTACGTTCAGGTCAGGTCTTCATCCTTAACACAGAATTGCGAATTCTTCTCATTGTCCTCGCAAGAAAATTTCTTTTTTGGAAGCTATGAAAACTGGAATATCACATTTACACTGACTTATAGACGAAAGCGTTTCTGCAAAATATTAAAAATTCCATGCCATCAATATACGATCTTCTCAGGCTGATGGCAAAGTTCTTTAGTTTTGCAAATGCTTTCGTCTTTAGTTATTTCTCTGCCATTTTAAAAACGTTTTTCGCTTTTCCCAATAGATTCGTCCATCTATCACTTTGTCGACGATATTTGCGTAGCTTTCATTGTAAGTGTTACTTTCCTTTTATTTGTGTCTTGATAATTTCCATTATGAAGAGTATGACAAAATATATATCAGAGTTATGACGTTTAAATCTTATAACTGAATTGTGAGGTAGACGCCTCATTAATAGTCCGTAATGATAAGACAACTCTCAATTCAATTTGGTAAAATAGAGAGGCGTAATAAATGACCCCACCCCAAATCAGAGCCCTAACCGATCATTATGAAGTCTTATCACTTTTAAAGCTATTATTTATTGGATAGCGCCAAAGCTAAGCAATAAACAGTTTCGGATAGATTAATTGATTATTTGAACAAGTTTTTAAAAATCATGACAATATATTCGCTTTTATTTTGTTCACTATTTTGCCCTTTTGAAACTGTCTTTTCCGCCTTATGTCCACTTGTCATTTAGTAAGTTCAATTCTTTTTCCTATGACATTTTTCCATTCGACACTTTCTTTGTTCGATACTTAGTCCGTTCAACACTTTGTTCATCATTTTGTCCATCCATCATTTTGTCTATCCGTCATTTTGTATTTCGATACTCTTTTCATTACGGTCGTCCTCGAGTATAGAATCCAGAGGTTGGCAGTGAATATTTCGGAGACAGTAGGAAAGCGTAGTGCAGGTTCGCAGTGGATATCACAGCAGAGCGTAGTTCATCCTTCTCCTGGTCGCCTTTGGTCCTTCCGGTAGAGGAAACAAGATGGCCGCCTTTATACAAGACGAATACAGTGCTGTGCGGCTTCTGATTGGTCAACCTTCTATTGGTCGACTATAAAGGGAAATAAGTCATTCTGACTCGCTCACTAGTTATATACGATATACCCAAAAAACCGCAACAACTCTGTCATTCGATACTCTGTCATTTGACACTTTTTCCTTCGACATTCAGTCATTTGAAACTTTCTAGCGTCAAATTAAACTGACTTCTCCAATTCCTTAATCTATATTTAAAGGTTGTTATTGATCACGAGATATATAAAAGGAAATTTCAAACGGAACACTTTATACAATATTCGGGTGTTAAGTTTTGTCATTCAGCTTTTCATGTTCAAGGATATATTTTGTAATTATGAATTTAATCCCTGGAACGAATAGTGTGTACTTTGATCCATTATGAAACAGTGTGAACACTGACTGGACAAAGAAGCAAAAAAGACGAACGATATGCGTTACATCTATGATACTCCTGGGCAGGAACTTCGAACCAAATCGTTTTCATTTAGTAAAAAGTTTCATATGAACTGTTTCTTCCCGAGAGGATGCTTACTTGATCACAATGTTATTAATCTCTAAAATAGTTATCTATTCTACGAATTCTCCGTCCTGGGTATAACGATAATCTATAGGGTTGGTGCATAATTATCAGGCGTTTTTAAACAATATTTATTATGAAAAAAATACATCACAATTGAACAATAAGATTTTTAAACGAGTATGTTTATCGACACGCATTTTTATAACTTAAAAATAAAATAATATTTTTATTTAAAAAAAAGCAAATAAAGCAACAATTTTTTATAAAAAAAAAAACTCGTTAGCAAAAACACCTGCACCAACCCAATACATCTGCGTCCTGGGTAAGACGACAAACTAAATCCATCAGCAAGAACTCTGATCAGGCGGTTTTGAGGAACGTATAACCACCTTTTAATTACTGGTTTCCCAAGTCCACCTTAACCCGGTGTTGCAGCACCTTTTACAAAGTCCAACCCTTACCTCACAGTCGGTGTGGGGGTGTAAACGGTAGTGTCAGAGCTATGCCGTCCGGAACTTCGTTCCTGGTAGGGCCACCCAAGGCGGACAGGTCTGACACACACGCCGGCTAACAAGGGCTCTGGTGAAAATCCAAGGAGCGTCTGCATTGGTAACCGGTGGCTTCTGGTCGTTCCTGTCTCTGCGTCTGTGGGAACCCCGCGGCAAGCAAGAACGTTATCCGAGTAGGCCTGGGTACCCTACTTCTGTAATTTATCCCAAGAATCTTCTTCTCACAACAGGAAGAAGCCGGCTCAATCCGCCCAGGTTGAATGCCGCATCAGGACAGGACAGGACCTTTTACTGTCCCATCTATGGGCAAATAGTCAATCCCCAAACTAGTTTCAAAACACTATGAAGGTTTAAAAATAGGTTTTAATAATAGCAATATATTTTTGAACAAAAATTATTACCAACAATACATTATTACCAGCATACATTAAATATATTACCACCAATTAAAATCTTGTCGGCGTTAAATAATTCATTGAGGTTGATATGCCGTAAAACGAAATAAACCAAACCAATTTTGGCATACTCTACATTTCTTCCTCTTACATCCATACAACCTCATTAAACCTCGACATTAATGTATGCAATTGTATGTATTTGCTAAATAAATGACAATGTTTTCAGAATAATATTTCTATTGAAATTTGGTAAAATCTTAATCTTAAATTTATATAATCAATCTGCCAATTTTGTTTCAGTTTTTAATATCTGTTTGTACTCCACATATTTACAAGAAATTATTTGGTGATTTGGTATTTTCTCGTGGATCCTAAAGGCTGTTCATTGTTCTGTTACTTAATTTAAATAATAGTATAGTTCTTGATGTTTCAACTTCAATTTCAGATATATAAAGACTGCCATGGGCGATACGAAAGATATAATCTCAAACTAGTATCATTTATTGAAAATCTGTTAAGCAATTGGAATACATTATTGAAAATTATTAAAATGTGTTTTAAAGGAGATCACTGAAAAATTAAAAAAAATGAAATTGAAAAACATTGTCAAGACATGAAAAAGATTTAAAAAGTGTTTTCAAGGGTGTTACAAAAGAATCTAAGAACACTTCCACGGGTAATAAGCAAGAAAATTGAATATCCCAGCAGCTGGGTTAGCGAGCGTCAGAAGGCAAAAAAGAAGCGGATACTTAATTATATTATCTAAATTAATAACAAGTCTTATGGCCACATCACTTTGATCACCGGTTCCAGTATGATTACCGAAGTTAAGCAACGTCGAGCCTGGTCAGTACCTAGATGGGTGTCCGCATAGGAGTACCAGGTGCAGTAAGCTTGCATGTGCGTGTGATGTATTGGATAATGAGTCGGATTTATAAAACGGGGAGCTAAGTTCGAATTCCACTTGCGTTCGTTATATTCCCTGAAGTGAAAATGCTCTTGGGAAACGTATGAATCAACCTCTTCTACCCACAGCTACGGGTTAATTAGTAAAACCTTTGATGCTAAATCATTAACTCAAAAATTTCTTCAGTCACTTTCTCAGAGATGCCGTCGCTTCCTTCTGTGTTTTTTTATAAATACTTTCACTGCTCCGACGAACTACTTTCACTGGTTCCCTAACTACGTGAATTTAAGCGTGCTACTAGACTGTCATCAAAGTCCCACCCTTTCACTTTCGAAACTGTTAAATGTTGCCGTCTCTTTTACTCCAATAGATTCATGTCTCGCACTTCCGGCCTGTGATACTGCTTTCCTCTTACTTGTTTCCCTGATAGCTATAATTTTCAATTATTCAATGCAATGTCAATCGACATATTCAGATATCTTAATCTAATTCCCCGTTCTTCTCTTCATCTTTTTCTCTGTCACTCTTCTTTATTCTTGCTCCCACTCTCTGTAACCCCTTGCGTGCCAGTAACATTCCTGTTGACCATGTTCACCATAGTCTATGAATATAGAATACAGCAGAGTACGTAATCTGTTCAATGAAACAACGTTAAAGATTAACAGTCACAAGTCAGACACTCTACTGAATCTGACTATATCACCAATACCACCAGCAGCTGTTCCATAATTCTTCACTCTTTGATATCAAAGGCTGGCCGTGAGTATTCGGAAAAAAAACATGGCCGCCTTTATACACGTCGCATTGAATATTTTGAGCCTTCTGATTGGTTATTCCTTCTATTGCGGAACTATAAAATGAGTCAGCTCATTTTGGCTGGCTCACTAGTACACCAGGGTGCCCCAAAATTCCAGCAATTCCCGCCTTGCTTGGGTTGAAATGCTTAAAATATCGAAAAGTATTTTCTCGCTCTAAGTAACCTCCAACGAATTGATATGCTGTAACAAACGAACCAATTAATGAAATACTGATTAGCTACACAGGTATGCCTTTCAGATTCATTTACCTTCTCTGGAATATGTGTAGAAACTACTGTGGCTCATACGTGAGGGATCAGTTTATATATTGATTGTAATATAGACTTGATCCCCCATTTTATATCCACATTATAATTTATTGTTTGATTATCAAATTCTGCTTACGTATGATTACACCTCTTTTCTCCACCATCTATAGTTAAATTAGTAACATTTCTATCGCTAAACCGTTATGATCTAAAAAAATTCTCACAATCTAAAAACATTTTCCGGCTTTAAATAACCTACGAAAGGTTGATAAACCATAAAAACGAATCAGTCTATAAATAAATTAATTAATAACAGTAACAAAATTATTATCTTGGAATAAACATCCCTAGGAATCATTTTTTAAATTAATCGAATAACTGAATGAAAACTGAGTTAATCTTTATTCCTGACCATATAGCTACGTTGGATGTGTTTATGATTGGACCAGAAGTTTGTTTTTTCATAGAAATAATTAATTAACACACCACAGAAAATAAAAAGGAGGGATTGAGTAATATTTCGGCCTTTAGGCAATAGAAATGATAATTTGATATTATATCAAATTTTGACACTGAAAATATAATTGCAAAGAAAGGAAGGGCCCCTAAAATTAAGGCTTAAAGGAACATCAGAAACCCGTGAAGGGAGATGAAACAAGAGAATTCAGCATAGCTGATCATGTATGGAGAGAAATTAAAAAAAGAAAAATAACAGTAAGTCTTTAACAGCAGTAACATAAGAGGAAAAGATTCAGTGAGTTATCTAAAGCATGAAAAGTAGCAACAGTAGCACTCATCAGCAGTCAGGTTAGGTCTAAAGCATTTAGTTCTCCACATAGAACTCATTGTAATCGTGAGTTAAATACCTGGGGCCAGCCGAGTGTACTTCGGTTAAATAATTTTCGCTTGTGAAGCTATCTTCCGGCTTCTTGCTTTCCATTAAATTTTGACTTTCAACAATTTAAATGCAATGTATTCTTAATTATTGTTCCTTTATTTTTCTCTCACCTTAATAGTATTTTTTTATTATATTAATAAACACTAAGTAACTCCCTTGCGTCTAAGTGGCTTTATTTCTTTACTATGGGGGTGGGCGAATGTATAAAAAAATCCCAGCTGTACCTTTCTTATTTGGACTTAGCTTAGAATCGATCAGAATTGAGACACTGTTGACTTTACATAAATACACTTGCCATGGCTAAAATAATCATTAAAATGTGTTTTATTTACCTGCGAATCAGTGGAAGTGATATAAATTCAAAAAAACTTGACTCGCTTGAGACATTTAGATGTAAATATTGTTAGTATTTCATGTGGCTAAGCGGATATCAAAATATATGGGTTTTTAAATGTTTTTTTTTAAATTTGAAACAGTACCGAAAAAAAAAGAACTAAAACCAATTATCCTTAGGCGTGGCCTGTTGAACGAGAAAAGATTAAAAATGGGTTTAGTTCAGAATTCTTTGTAAGTTAACTGCATCGATGTACTTCGGATGATGAGCGCGTTGCTCAAATGCCGAAACGTTGTGATGACAGCAATAAAGATCAGAATAATAGTTCAAATTTAAAGGGTGTAAATAATTATAAGAAAACGTTCTAAAATTTGGACAATATGTTTTGTGAATGTTGAAAATCAGCATGAAGAAGCTTTAGGCTGAAGAATAGATTCAATATATTCATGCAAAACAATGTTTCTTCATATGCTGCAAAGCTGACTATTTGCTAAAATTTATTCTCACATTTTGGACAATAGGTCTTTAAAAAATTATATTCATTCACATCAATATATTTCATAAATTACCTATTAGCAGTTCTGTCACCATTTATTTATATATATATATATATATATATATATATATATATATATATACAAGGTGCGTTCGAATAGCTATTTCAACCAACAGGAAGACGTATATTAGCACAGTCTGACCACCTAACTCCCCAGACTGCAAGCCGCTTGATTATGCGGAGGCGCAGGTGAGTGTGAAACCAACAAAACTCCTTGTAATACGAAAGATGAATTGAAGTCAAGGATTATGGCAGCATTCACCAAGTTAAACCGTAAAAATAATCAAGCAATATATCAACTTATTAAGAAAAAGAAATTAAAAAAAGAAATTAGTAAGACTTGTAAACCATTACAATCGCTAAAATATATTCTTATAATCCCAAAATTATTTCTGCCTTTGAATAACCTGCAAAGGTTTGATAAGACTTAGAAAATGAACCAATCAAATCCCCGTCGTATTTTTAATGTTTATTTTGGCCATGACAAGGATGGAAATTGATTAGTTCATATCTTCCCCAAGTATATTTATGTAAAGTCAACAGAACCTTCATTGGGATTTGAACACAAATCATCGATTCTGCTTATCGAACTATTTAACTATTAAACTACCTACGCTTGAAAAATGCACACCTGAGTATTTTTTATCATTAGCTCCAAGCAAGGCAATAAAGCCACTAAGATGCAAGAGATTAGTGGATGTTAGAGAATAAAAAAAACACACTATGATGGAGAGAAAAATACCAGAAGAATTAAGAAGATAGAAAATGATTGCCATCGCGTTTAATTTTTTGAAGATCAAAGTTTACTGGGAAACAAGAAGCCGAAAGAGAATTTAACAAGTGAGACGTCCGATAAAAGAAAGTTATCGTTGAACTTAAGGTTACATCTTGCTATTTCTACGGAAAAATGATGAAACCTTTGTTACTGTTTTTTGGGTATATAACATATATAACTAGTGAGCGAGTAAAATGACTTATTTCCCTTTATAGTCGACCAATAGAAGGTTGACCAATCAGAAGCCGCTGAACATTGTATCCGTCGTGTATAAAGGCGGCCATCTTTGTTTTCTCACCGGAAGGACCAGAGGAAACATGTCCGGCGAACATGACAGATGGAAGAACTACGCTCTGCTACCTTGCTGCGATATCCACTGCGAACCTGCACTACGCTTTCCTACTGTCTCCGAAATATTCACTGCCAACCTCTGGATTCTATGCTCGAGGACGACCGTCATGAAAATGTCTAACAACCTTGCCACCAATCTAGTATGGCACATAAATTCATAAAATCTAGGTACCAACGAAGAAAGTTCACCAGAACAATTACCATGAACATAATTAGATAAAAAGCACGGGGAAGCTACGTTACACGAATGGAAGCTGACTGAGACCAAGATGCCACATTAGGACTAATAACATTGTAGATTCTTCTTTATATTTTGTCAAAAATCTCTAAATATATAAAAAAAAAACACCAGATCAGATGCGACAGACATATTCAATACATAAGACGAATGGTAAACTTATAAATATGCAAAAATAGATTCTGGCGAGTAAACATTGCCTAGAATGACACAGTAAACCAACTTTCCTAGCAGCAACTTGTCTAACTTGGGTAACAGTCTAACTCTCTGTCTTCGGGCGGAGAGTCACCTGGAAGGGCAGAGTCTCGTTCGGGGTGGTTGACTGCTGCTGAACCCGTTTATGCGGGTTTCAAAGAGGAAATATTTTTGGCCGAGCCTACGGGCTCGGAGATCCAACATTAAACCCGGCCTTGTGCCACATGTAACCCTCGTGGGGGGGGTAGCTAAATATCACTTTCCTGGCAGCAGACCAAACAAATGATTCCATATAATATTTCGACCACATGTCAGTGGAAAACGTTAAATTTATTGATATATGTTATAATCCTGGTGCAGATGTGGAATCCTTTATCATAGCCAAATATATTTTGATTGAAAAATTATCAGATTAAGATCGGTGTTATTTTCTCTTTACCAGAGTTGTGATCACGTGACAAAACCGATATGTAATTCTTTGACTTTCCATTACAAAAAGCCTGATATTTACCGTAGGTAAGCATGTAAAATCAAGTTTAAAACATGAAAATACTAAATAGAAGGTCGGTGAAT